AATAAGATGTATTTAGAAATATACTTAAGTTTACTTTCTAAAATACAGAAATACCAATAAGCAGAATGTATTAATATATTTTAACATATCAATAAATTTATAGACCCCAGAATTGGCTGTGATTTCACCCTAAAATTCTAATAGTTTCATGTTATTGAAATAGAGTTTCAAGTGATTACAGAGTTTTCTCTGTAAATGATCATCTTTGTAAAAATAAATTAATGTATTAAATGTCTATTATTATATACATAATACATAGCAGTAGCCACAAATATATTTAACACTAGATTCTTCCATTAATACACATTGAGGAAAAAAAGAAAGGTAACAAAAAACCATTTGGTTACATGGTTTGAGGCAAGAAGAGATTGAAGATACCTGGTGCACTACCACATTGCTGTGCTGGCCAAGAACGTTGTGAGATTTTCACTTTTGCATTTTATACTTTTATATAAATGTGTACCAATTAGAAAACAGGCAAGCAAACTGTGTGTGCGTGTGTGTGTGTGTGTGTGTGTGTGTGTGTGTGTTAGTGTCTTTTGTGGTTAAGTCAATTCTGACTCATGGCAAGCTCATGTATGCTAGAATACAAGTGAGCCATAGGGTTTTTAATGGGTGATTTTTCATAATTAGGTCTCCAGGTCTTTCTTCCAAAGCATGCGGTTCATAATCTATTTTAAAGACACAGGGACTTAATATGTGTGTGATTATCATTTCTTTTAGAATTTTACTTCTTAATTTTTATAAGGGAATCCTTTTTTTTCCTAAAGGAAAACTGACTTTGACCTCTAGTCAAGAGTAGGAAAACTTATTATATGACTTGTTTGGCTCTACTTCCCGCTAGTCTCATCACACACAAAGAAGCAAGTCTTCCTCAACCCAACCAAACTAAACCAAACCACATGCACTGTCATCAAATCAATTCTGAAACATAGCGGCCTACAGCACAGGGGAATTACAGCTAGAGTTCATCAATGTCTCACGGTGGTGCTTGCAAGCGGTGATTGCTATGCAATTTCCCAAGCTCACAATGCTGTCTACAGACATAATAGGCCACTGCTGAAAGAGTAACAGCGTCTACGGGGAAGTCAGATTTCATTTTCCATCATTTTTGCCTCTGAACAAAGACTTCTATTTAAAAAAAAATCAATATGATGAAGTGAAGAAGCCAGGAAGATTTAGGAAATAAGGAGGAATAGAAATGGGAAAAACAGGACAAAAGTGAAATTAGTGATGTTACATTGATGGGATAGCTTCAATCAATGGCTTGAAAAATATCTGATGAGTGGTGAAATGGAAAAACTGATTTGCTCTGTAAGCCTGCACCCCACTTATAATACCAAGCCTTAATGAATAAATATGGCTTCCTCTTCCCTTAAAAAATTAATTTACAAATTTGAAAATGTACAGTGTAACAACACTGTTCTGACAAATAAATTCTACTCAACATTTTACAACAGTATGCCTCTTTCATTCTAAAATTTATACTCAACTTCATAAAATGAATCTACTCATTCTCTAATGAGGAAACAAGTTTTTAAGGATAGCTTCACCATTACTTTGTTGTTGTTGTTTAATATGCAACTTTAGATTGTGCTTTTATTTATAGATATTTGCACTTACATGTAAGTACACTTGAAGTTATCTACAACCTCAGGTAAAGGAGAGCGATGCTGGAAATCAAGAGTAGATTAGCAGTATTGTTTCACAAACCATGACTCCTGCTACTTAAAGTGGATCATCATGTGGCCAGTGAAGAAGAAGTATATTAAGAAATCAATTAGAATAAAGCAAGTTGATACGCCCAATGTTCATTCACGCAGGAAGTGTTAACATGTGGAGCACAGTGATATTCAAGGACCGTAAGAAATAAAACTATGTAAAGGACATGGACCAGCACGTGAACATACTAAAAATGAGTTGGGAACATAAAGCCTGGGCAAAAATAACTACAGAGATTATAGTATATGGTAAATGACATGAAAATATTATAGGATATTATTAGAACTGAGATTGGGTTACTTTGCTAGGAGGAGATTAAAGTAGCCCATTTTACATTGAAAATGGTACTTATTTTGGCCCTTCATGGATGGATAGAATTCAACAGAGAAGAGGTTGGGGAAAAAAATCTTTCAAGTGAAGGCATAAATTGTTACAGTTGTTAGGTTCTGTTGAATAGTGTTAGACTTGCAGTGACTCCATGTATTAGAATAGAACACTTCTATATTGTTTTCTAGGCCAGTGGTTCTCAACCTGTGGGTCGTGACCCCTTTAAGGGTCGAAGGATGCTCTCACAGGGTCGCCTAAGAGCACTTGCAAACACATATTTCCAGTGTTCTTGGGAACTGAGATACTGCCCTTCTACCTAACACCTCATTTGCACTTGCTAGAAGCCCGTTCACAGTCAACGTTGAAGATGCTCCTGAGACAGCACAAGAGGAGTTCACTGAACTTATTAACAGTGATGCAGCGAGAACTGATTTCTCTACAATGCGGGTTACAAAATTCTGGATCAAGTGTATACAGTCATATCCTGTTCTGTCTGAGGCTGCGTTGTGTCTTCGTCTTCCATTTCCAACAACATATCTTTGTGAAACAGGGTTTTCCAGCTTGATGGTTATCAAGTCTAAATACAGAAGTGGAAGATGATCTTCATTATGCTCTTGCAAAGACTGCCCCGAAAATTTCTGATCTGGTGAGAAAGAGGCAATCTCAACCTTCACACTGACGTTGGGTTTTATGCATACTGCTGCAAAATGTAGCAATGTAGTTTACTGTGGTTATATTAAGACTGTTACCCATGCTTCAAGACAAAATTTCATTTGTTTTTCATTAGAAATAAATAGTTCACAATATATAATTACACATTGTTTTTGTGATTAATCACTATCCTTTAATTAAGTTCAATTTGTAACAATGAAAATACATCCTGCATATCAGATATTTACATTATGATTCATAACAGTAGCAAAATTACAGTTACAAAGTAGCAACAAAAATAATCTTATGGTTGGGGGTCATCACAACATGAGGCACTGTATTAACGGGTCACAGTATTAGGAAGGTTAAGAACCACTGTTCTAGACTCTAGTAATCTTTACTGGAACAAATCATTAGGTCTTCCTTTTGAAGAGCCATTGCCTGGGTTTGAACTGCCAATCATTAAGTAGTATCTGAGTATTTAATAGTTTACAAAACCAGAGCTTCCAGCTATGGCATATCAAGAAGAGAAAATGAATAAGAAAACAGCTAGAAAGACAAGTTGTATCAGTAGCAGATCTTGAATGTTATGCTCTTAATTTATTTGGCAAATGACAAAAGCCACTAACAAACATGCACTCACTATATTATTCCACTACTCAAGTACAGGAAAATGGGATGGTTAGACTCTGAGGAGCCTCATGTTTTTGTTTTGGGTTTTTTTTATTTTCTAAATTCACCATAACAGTGTAATTGTCTTTTAATTTTCTCTTTATATTTCTTTTGAATAGATGTCTGAAAACAACTTAGAAAGTTATTTGCAGAAGCGCCAGTCATTCTGACTCACATATCTGACGTGAAACAGAGTGAAACATTGATGACTCTTGGATCGTCCTCATAATCATTTCTCTATTTGAGCTCATCGTTGCAGCCATGGTGCAACATTTGACTGAGAGCATTTCTCTTTTCAGCTGACCCTCTCCTTGACCAAGAAGAATGTGCTTTTCTAGGGACTGTCCCTCTGGCTGACATGCCCAAATGCTTACGATGAAGTCTCTCTACCCTCCTTTTTTTTTTTTTTCTTAATTTGTGTTCACCTCTACAGATGATATGCCACGAAGAAGACACAGCACACCGGAAGTACATTAAAGGGACACGATACTGTGGCATGTTGTCTGGCTGTGTAGATTACCGATAAAAAAACCCACAATATTCTATGCGTTCTACCCTCCTTCTAAGAAGCATTCTGGCAGTACTGCTTATCAGACAGATTTAAATGAAGAAGACTCGATGCATTGGGATTATGGTATGGGGAAGAATCAGGAAAGTAACAAGGACTTCCAAAAGAACAAACAGATCAGGGTGGAAGAAGGACAATCAGAGTGCTCATTCGAAGCAAGGATGGGGAGATTTCGTCTCACACAACTTGGCCGTGTGGTCAGGAGAGATCGACCCTGGAAAAGGGCATCGTGCTGGGTAAAGTGGAGGGCCAGCACAAAGGAAGAAGGGCTCAGTGAGGTGGACTGACACAATGGCTGCCACGCGGGCTCAAACATAAGAACAATGTGACGACGGCACTGTACTGAACAGCGCTTTGTTCCGTTGTAACATAGGGTTGCTATGAGTTGGAACCGACTCAATGGAATCTAAGAATAGCCCACAGTGTATTCATATTCATATTCAAAACAACAATCCATTGGCACCAGTTCTTCTGTCTTCGTTATTACTTTTGCAGTTTTGCATACCAGGTCATGAATGAAAAGGTGAGGACAAGTCAAGTAAAGAGGGCTACGAAGGTTCCAGTTCTTCTGTGCACTGGTTTCCTCCAAACAAAAGGGGCTTAAACATCTCTCTGAAATCAGTGAGTGGTTGCACAAGTTCTCTCAGTGATATAGTTTTGGTATTCTTGTTAGAATGGTTTCAAATTCAAAAGACTCTTCTAGTTCAATGAAAAAAAAACATTTTGAGTGATGGTTAATACAAAATTTTACCAAGACTCATAGAAGCTTTGCAACAAGTTTTCAAAACTATTTCCTCATATAAAACAACAATTTTCCGATGGATCAAGTGTTTTAAGGAGGCTTGGGAAGACCTTAAAGATGATCCAAAAAAGGGAAGGCTATCAGCCATGAGAAATGAAGAAAGGACGACAGCTGAAACCCAGAACCTAGTGGGGAAATGGTGGCACAATTACCACTTATGTGATAGCTATGGGAGTAGAGATCTCACAGGGTTCAGAATTTTCAATTTTATATAAAAATCTTGGCATCTACAAGCTTCCTGATGCACAAGTACTAAAAAAAATCACATGGAGATCAATTAGCCCAAAGAGCTGATTTTTTTTATCAGTTTTATAAGCAAGGTTGAATCTTATAAAGCTCCCATAAATTTTATGGAAGCACAGTAGCCAGGGATGAGTCTTAAAATTATGCATATAACCCAAAGAACATGGGCAACTAAAATGTTGGTTTCCTAAGGGATGTGCTGGAACGATTAAATTCAAGCCAGGGAGGGCAGTTCACCAGGTTTTAGTGGCTGATTTGGGAGATTCTCAATAGGACGGGGCTCTCTACCCCTGTCCACAGTTACAGGGGCGCTCTACCCTGTCTGACAGGGTCACTGTGAGTCTTCATCAACCCAAAGGTAGTGAGCTGGTGTTTTGTTTTTGTTTTAGTTTTCAAGGGATAATTCTTCTCAAAGGACACAGGACAAATGAATTATTATGAAGGACATGTTTAAGCACAAAGTACACAAGATAAATGAAATAGATGAAATGTTATGACTAATGATTATTATAATTACTATGAAGAAGTTTTAGGAAAACTGTATTGATGAATAAAAAGGCCAGTAAGTTGTGGAAGTGATTTTAATTCACCACAATTGTGCATCATGTCATTCTTCAAGGGTAGCAAAAAGCTGTCCTATCAGCATTGCGCTGAGAAACCTGCTGCAATCAGCCTCCAGCCCTGATCTTGCTCCTTCAGATTTCTTTGTATTTCCCCCAACTCAACAAACATTGAGCAGGAACAGGATTTGAGTCTGATAAGAATGCTCAAACTGCTGTTTTGACGTGATGTAAATTGAGGGGTGCAGAAGTCTTCAGGAAAGGTAAAGCCACCTTTAGAGACATATAGATCTTGATGGAGGTTATGGTCACAAACAATCACTTCTCGGTTTGATGATTTTGTTTAATAGATGGTTATAAAATCGTGTAGCCATATTTTATACTCACCCTAGCACATGGCAGGAAGCAGGCATACTTCCGTCCCTAGAGTGTTACCTTTTTTTTTTCAATGTGAAAAAGTGTTTTGTAGCATATTTGCCCTATGTTATATATTGATTTCTTAATTGCTGCTTGCGTGAGTGTTAATTACAGATTCAAATGACATGAAACTTTGACATTTTGGGTATGTTTTCCATTTATTGTTCCAGTTGTGAGCATTTTAATTTTTCTTTATGTGTGATCAGTATAGAGATTTTCCGTCTTTAATATTCATCTGTAAGTTCTTAGAGAACTCTTCGCTTTCAACAAACAAGATTGTGTCATCACATATTGTAGGTTGTCAATGAGTCAACCTCCAGTGCAGATGTCGCACTCTTCCTTAGAGAGTTCAGCCTCTTGGATTATTTGCGCAGCACACGGGTTGAATAAGAATGGGAAAAGGATACAACCCTGACACATAACTTTAACTTTCCTGATGGTAAGCAGTATCTCCTTTTTCTGTTTGAATGAATTCCTTGTGACCTATGGACAGGTGTCCCATGAGCACAATTAAATGTTCTGGAATTCCCATTCTTCACAATGTTATCTAAAATGTGTGATGATCCACACAGTCAACTTTGAATAGTCAATAAAATACAGGTAGAAAATAGGCATTTTGTGTTAGCTAAATCCATCTGAAATTAATAATTATCTACCTCATTCCCTATCCTTTGCTAATCAGGATTGAAAGTCTGGCAGCTCCTGTCCTGCTGTAATGGTTGTTTTGTTTGCTTGCTTTTTAATTCCAGCAAGCATTTACTTCTGTGTGGCTTTACTGATTATTTTTTATAATTTCTGAATTCTGTTAGACTACTATCTTTGAAGTGGGCAAAAATATGAATATCTGAAATTCATTTGGCCAGGCAGCTGTCTTCCAATTTTGTTGGTATAAACAAGTGAGCAGCAATTCCAGCCTTGCATCTATTTGTTGAAATATCTTAATTTGCATTCTGTTTCTTTCTGGAGCCTTCTTTTACTCCAGTGCCTTTGGTGCAGCTGTACTTCTTCTTTCAGTGCCACCGGTTCTTAACCACATGCTACCTTTTGAAATGGTTGTAGGTCAATCATTTCTTCCGGGTGCATTTACCCTGTGTAGTCCTGCAATAGTCTTTCAATGCTTCCTGCATTATTCAGTATTTTGCATACAATTCTTCAGCATTGCAGCTTGAGGTTTGAATGATTTCTTGAGTTGGACAACTGTTGACTCTGGTCCTCTCTTTCAGTTTTCTAATGCCACATCGTTGCATATTTCATTGTAATGTTTGACTTTGTCTTCTGAGATTTGTCTTTTGAAATTTGGAAACTTTCCTTTCACCTCTTTTACTTCATCATTTCTTCCATTCCTTTTAGCTACTGTACATTTAAGAGTAAGTTTCAGTGTCTCCTCGGGCATTCATTTTGATCTTTTCTTTACTTTCTGTCTTTTGAAATGACTTTCGGTTTTCTTCATGTATGAGGTACTTGATATCCACAACTAGCCTTGTTAATAGTGTTGAGTGCATCAGAAATATTCTTGAGAAGGTCTCTAAATTCAGTCGGGATATATTCAAGGTCATACTTCAACTCTCAGAGATTTGTTTTCATTTTCTTCAGCTTCAATTTTAACTTGAAAATGTACAATTGATGGTTCGGTCCTTGGCCCCTGACATTATTTGAATATTATCTAGAGCAACCACAGTATTTTCCCACAGATATTGTTTTGATTCTTGTGTCTTACTTTCTGTAAGGACCACATATACAATCTCTTTGAATGTTCTTGAAAAGGGCTATTGTTGAGCTGTTTTAAAATTCTGCCACGCAATCTCTCTACTGTGCTTACGATCAAGGCCATTTCTCCAACTGTTGGTGCGTATTCTGTAGATCCAGCTTTCACTTTCCAATCAATAATTATTAGTGCAGGGTGACTGCATGCTTGATATATTTCAGAATGTAGAAGTTGGTAAAAAATATTTGATTGTTGCATCGTTGGCTAGCGATTTTGGCTAAATTTGAGTAACAGTTAAATTAGCTGAAATTCTTTTCAAGTGTTTGAGTTTATCCTCTCACTGCAACCTCGTCCTTCAGATGAGCTCTTGAAATGTTGTTTTTGGTGATGAATGCAATGCCATTCCCTTTAATTTGGGATTCCCAAAATGTCTTAGAATATGACTGTCTGATTCAAAATAGCCAATTCAGTATGTTTCAGCTCCCTAATACCTAAGCTATTGATCTTTAAATGTTCTACTTCAATTTTTAGGACTTCCAATTTTGCTAGATACATACTTCTAACATTTTATGTTTCAATTACCAATAAGTAATTGAATGGGTGCAACTCTGTTTCTTCTCATTTTGAGTTGTGCCACATGAGCAAATAGAAATCCCCAAAGCTTGCACACCCACCCCCTCCTCCCACCATATCATTAAGACTGACTACTCAGAGAATGCAGCCACTTGTGTTTTCAGTACCTTCCAAGCTAAGAGGTCATCTTCTACCTATTCATGTTTTTCCTTGCACTCTGGGAGATCCACTGAAACCTGTCCAGCACAGTGACCCTACTACTGCTGTTCAAAATAACTGACAGCGCTTCCAGCACCAAGGCATCACACAAGTCACCATAGCACCACAAATTGACAGATGAGGGGTGCAATTCAGGAGAGAAAGATAAATAACAAATTGACAGATGAGTGGTGAAATTCAGGAAAGAAAGATCAATTTAAAATGATCTATATGTTTTGCTATGAGCCCTTATCTTATTTTCCCCTGGAGAGATACATAACATATATTCTTTGCAAAAATAGCAGACATTCACCTAATTAACAATAACAGTTAAAAAGTTATATCAACAATAATTGCTATTGTGCAACCTGGTGTAAAACTTCATTGTGGGCACAAAATTCATCAATTACCTGTATCTTTAGGTGTTTACCAACCCCTGATAATTAGAAAAATATATTCATTTTTTCTATTATTAATAACAG